TCACTGGTTTTTTTTGGTATCTGGGTAAAAAAAATATTTTTTCATTTGTTCTTATTCTTCTCAGTTTGCTTCTTATGTGGTATATAATGAGGACAACATTGCATTCCCAAACATTAAAAAGAGATAGTGGTGTAATAGTTTCGCATAGTGCGCATCTTTTTTTTCACTTTCAACATTATCTGAGAAAATATAGCAGGTTGTATTAATTACTGACGTGTCGAGAGATAGAGGGCAAGGACAACTATACTTACTGTTGTGTGTGTATCCTCTTGATAATTTTCAGAAACATTTCCATAGCCAAGTGTATACTTTTCTCTTGAAATAATTTATTCACAAGAGTGGATTTTCATGCACTTCCAAACGCTAAAATATGCCTGCAAATGTACATACACATACAGGTTAAACATTGTGTGCAACATTTGCATATGGTGATAATTTAATTTCAGAATAAATTACAGGAGATACCTCAAAATATTTTAATTTTTTTTTGCAGTCTGATTGTTATTAGCATAATCTCATTTTTCGGTAGGATAATCCCACTGATGAAGTTGATAAACTAATTCGAGATTTCTAAATCTCTCACTAGACGATACAATTCATTACAAGTTTCCTTGTTTGGGTGATGTTTTAAATTTATAAAATGAATGCTCAAGAGAAAATTTCCGTTTTGAAAGGAGAAAAAGTTTTTCATCCGTACTTTGAAAATGAGACTACTGCATTAAGTTTTAACAGGATATTCAAAATTTCCAAAATTTTAAATTTTTTTAGCAACGCATTTTGGGTAAATTACGGCGTTTTTGATGGGTTTAATGCACTTATGTATACTACGATTAAACGATGCAAATTACTACACTCTCTTTCTGGCATTTACGTAAGTTCATTTGATTGATGATAATGAAACTTAATATTGTCGATACTTTTTCTATGCCCGCAAATGGAGAGCGGAGCAAATTCAATGTTTAAAATGTATTTTTATTATGAATTTGCAAAATAGAAATACAATTTTTTCGATATGAAAATATTCACTGCAGGCGCCACGCTAAGTTTTACTTTCTCGCTACGGAGGTGGCTACCGCGGTGAAAAGAAAGATATGTTATGTTGCGCGAAAAAAGCGAGTTTTCTGCCGAAAAATCTTATTACAGCGCCCTGGTTTTCGAACATTTGAGTATTTTCGCGTAATTTAACGTGAAAATATTGGCGAAAAAGAACTTGCTGTTTTAGCACCATTAATTAGTGTTAGTGACGAGTTCACATGTGAGAAACTTCCGGAAAGAAGTTGGCAAAACAGAGATAATTTATTTATGGTCTCCCTTAATTTAAATTTACTTTTAGAAAGAATGGTGTAGTTTTATTAATATTAATATTAATTTTAAGATTTCACCTACAGAATTCTGGGTCAGGATCCGAATATAATAATATAATACTATGTACCACACAGAAGCAAATCGAGCTATCTTATAGCTTATCTATAATTAATATTTAATAATATTTAATTCAGTCTGTGGAAGACTGATTAAAATTAGGAATTCATTTTGAGGAATAATATAGTAGACTGAAGTAAAGATGCAATGAAAAGTACTTGTTTTACAACAATTTTTTCATTCCTTGTGTTATTTTGTTTTCGTTGCTTTGTAAGAACACACATTAAACGTAACCTGAACAAATTTATAGTTGTAGATTTTGCTAAAGAATTTCCCTACTAATGTTGATTGATCAAGTATAGTTTAATTCATTTGCTATGTGAACACATTTCCAAAACCAACAATACAAACAAATAGTTTTTTTGATATTCACCAAATGCAATAGCTACTTTAATTATCATTTCCTTCGACATCTTCGGTATTTTTAACTACATTTTTCTTTAATATAACTTCAATATTTATCTTTATTAAATTTAAAAAATAGAAATTTGAGGACTTATCTGGTAAATTTTTAATATTGATTTTAACAATTGTTTATAGTTCTTATAATTTTTGATAAAGTCTTTAAGTTTTTATTTTTATTTTTTCTTGACACACGGCACCATACAACTCACCATCAATTATCTCTTATATAATAATTTAAATGTCCCTCTTATAACTGGAGTATAAAGATTTTCTTCCTCAAATTTTTCAGGTCATCCTTGATTAGACATATTCCACCGCTTCCTCAATTTCATATCACTTGTTGGCTATAAGAGTTTTTCTCCCGAAAATTCACCGTTTTTCGTGCAGCATTACATCACTTTCTCTCTGCTGAGTAAGCTCAAGCGAGAAAGTAAAAAAGATTTTTCTCCTGAATGAAAACTGTTCTTCAAAATTTAAACTTTAAATGAGGTCACCTACAATTTTTTTCAAAATACTAGGAGATTTCACGTTATTTTGCATGACATAAAGGCAATTGTCAAAACAAGATTTTCTCAAAAACATTTAACATTTGTGCTGATAGTGCTAAATACACTGAATAACATGACACAATCTCGAAGTCGTAGGCTACCGCGGCCAGAGTCATGTGCGTGATCTGGGCTGTCCGGGTGACACCGCGTCGAAGGCTGTGTTGCCGACGTTTCGACCATCCTGTCGTGGTCTTCCTCAGGACTGGTATGCATACCAGCCATTTAAGTCAAAAACAAAAACTCAGTGTGACGTGCTATGGGGAGAAGTTAATTTGAAGTTACATTTATGTCCAGAAGCAAAACAAGGTGCCATCTCAGGATTTGCTCGAGGATAAGGGATACTTTTAGAATATCTAGTTAATATTTACATTAGAATGCAAATGTCTATTTAAAACAAAACTCTCCGATACAGATATTCTTCAGGCTCCAATGCTGCGAATACATACATACTATTGCAAATCCGTATCAAGGATGCTCCATACTCCTCATCCATCATAAATGCCTTCTATTCACCTAGTCTCATATTTACGTAACGGAGCATTTAAAACGTCGGTGAAAGTGTATTTCGTGCAAACGAAACTTCTTGCACAGAAACTTCTTGGGCAAAGTATAATGAGTAAAGAAAGAAGAGAGTGGCTTAAGTTTTTCGTCATCTCACTGAGATCCAACGTGCACAGGAAAGCTATTACGATGCTTCCTCTCTTTTCTTTCTGATATAAGTCAAGAAGTTTTCTGTTATTCGCTAATGATGCTTTTCAGTCGACCCGTCTATTGGTTGAGGGTAATTCCACGTTACTGAAAGGATGCAGGCATTTGCCGATAAATAGCATAAATGAGTAGCCATATGTGACATCCACATCTCATTACGTTGTCCTCTACTTTGGTCATGCAACAAAACTCGCTTTTTTTTACACTTTTTCTCGCAGTGGAGCATGCCCAGAGAAGTTTTCTGAAAGAAAACGTGCATAGTGTGCGTATTTTAAACATATGCGTATTCGGTTTGGGACTTGTTTTTTCTCTTGAAAATGGTGCTATACCCACACGTTTGTTCGAAGAACATTAAAACCAACGAAGTCTTTTTACTTAACGAAATTACATTTCTCAACTTTTAATAATTTTTATCTCCACAAATATAAAGGTCAGTGGATTCCTTCACTTTTTAGTCTGAAATATATTCAAACTATTTATTGAAAGTTAGAAACAGTAGAAAGTGTATCTAACATTTTTCGAGGGAGAAAAACTACATTTAGCGATTAGAACAAAAAATAATAATTTCAGCAGTTACGGAATGGATCAAGGAAAACTTAACTAAAAATCCGATCAAGATAGGGATCATTGACCCACAAGCTGCAATACAGTACTTGTTACAGATATACTCGGCCTTAAAAACTGTTTTCCCACTACTTGGAATTGCCAAAGCACATAGTCACGCTTTGGTTCCCAAACTGTGTGAAGATTCTGTTAGGGGGTAGGCTTCCGGTCCTAGTCCACTTCTTTGGAACGTGCCTTCTCGAAAGTCGCCTCTACCGACTGACGATCATTATAATTCCATTCAGTGCGACCTATTTGCAATGCTCATGACATTGGAGAAACTACCTTCGCATAAATTTACCACGGTTTTTATATTTACACACAGCTTTATTTCAAATTTCTTCTTTTTTCATGCTATAGCCTAACTTTAATAATCTTGCTGGTGAGGTTAATACTTAGTAAATATTCAGAAAAAAGGTGTCTGAGTGTCACTATTTGTATTACTTAAGATCGTTTCGAATGCTTAGCGATCATCATCAGATCTAAGCTAAAAATTTATAGAATCATTGAAATAAAAATTAAAACGTGAAAGTGATTGGAATTTATTTCCAGAAGTTGAATTGAATTAATGAGCAATTAAATATGTGACAATTTGAATATGTATATACAAACAGTTGAAGTATTGACTGATAATTTATATATTCAATTTCACAAATACAGTTAATTTCTCGTACATTCAATGCAATTTCGTGTATTCAGTTTTAATCACTTTTATGTTTAATTTCATGTTTTCATTTGTAATTGTGTGATTTTTGTATATGTTTTCACATTTGATCAGATGATCACTTTGCGATCGAAAACATCTTAAGTATTCAATATAGTGATACGTACACAACATTGCGTTTCTGAACTATCGTATTTTTATCTCTCTCCCATTCTTCAGAACAAACATGGGACATTCTATTGTTGGGATGAGCCCAAAGCGGGGCCAGTTGGGATAATCCAAAGCGGCATTGTTAATTAGTTTTAATTAGAGTTAACTAGTACGTTTAAGATAGGCCTGCACTTCCGCTGCATAAGCCTAATCGGCTGCAGCCCATTGCATCCCGAAAGATAAATAAATCCCGCCTCTGCAAGGTAACTAGAGGGGGCAAAATTGAAAAAGACGAGTCCAGCTGTTCCGCTTCGGCCAAATGTGTGGCAGCCCGCTACCCTCTCCTTCTCCTGAACGGCTTGAATAGGAGGGAGGAGGAGGGAGGTTGAATGAGCGAGCTGCAACGGCGCCCTCCCCTTCCAGGTCGCAACACTCACTGCCAAACTCGCGCACCGGGACCGTCGGCCACTGAGCACAGCACACACCGAGTTCACGGCACCCGTCGTTTGCTTTTGGGCGCCAGTCGCTGAACAACGCTCATCCTGCTGCGATGGACGTTTGGGTCTGTTTGTTGGAGCTGCTTGCGGTCGTCGTCGCGTTCAAGATTTGGTACAAGTGGTCCATGGGGCGGTGCACCTCCAAGCGACGCTTGAACGGCCTCACCGCGATCGTCACCGGGGCTAACACAGGTGGGTTACATACTGGACGTTTACGCGCGTTTGTTTAACACGTGAGTTGATTGATTGATGATTCGAGTGCGTCAGTTGCTAAGATCATTAGTCAGAAGTGCAGGTTTTTTCCTCGGGAGGTGGCGGTGATCTTCCTTCGCTGAATGGTGAGATCCGGCGCTGACCAACCTCTTTGCTGGCGGGGTTTTCCCCGACCACGCACCTCCCACCACCCCGACCACCCCAGCCCCGATCACTCCAGCCGGGACTAGCTCGAAGCTGCACTAAGTATCATGTAGTTTATGTTAGTGTAAGTGTATGTAATGTGTGAGGATAAGAGAAGGAAGAGAAAGGAGAGATCTGGCGCGGTCTGTGGCACGTTTGCTAGGGTACTGCTCCGGCATTCGCCTGGTGCTGATCGGAGAATCCACGGAAAACTGCCGGTCAGAAAACCCACCTCTAGAATTCTCCTTTAGACAGCGAGTGAATTCGACCTAGCTCTCTAGCTAATGTCGAAAATCTTGTCACTGTCGGGACTCAAATCCCAGGACCTCTCGAACAGAGGCTCTACAATGACCTCAATTGATGTATTGAATCACCTCTCCCGTTTTTAATATGTGAAATTTCTGAGGATTCGATTATATTATCAACAAAATACTTACGTTTTTAACTTGCATCTTCTCACATATAAGTTGAAATGATTATAATGTTTGGCAAATATTATTCAGCTGAAGTCTTGAAGAAGACATTTAACACAAAAATGACGTTCGGAACATGAAAAACTATTTGAGATTTTATTTGTAAACTTACCTAAATGTACGAATAGCTCTAACTTACTTTTTATTCTGTAGTTTCACAGTTGTCTAAAACTTGACAAAGTAGTTTCCTGAAAATGTATATTGCTACTATTGCCAGCCAGTTCAGAAGATACTAGGTTCTAGTCTTTTTGAAATAAAGAAAAAAATCAAATTTGAAATATAGTAATCTAAGTTAAACTGTTGGCATTTCCAAATGATATGCAGCAATAATTTCAAAGTATTCGAGAAAGTTAAACCAAGCTTTGGGAGGTGTATATTCGTTTAAAGCCAAACCATGGATTTTCACGAGGCTCCCTATTAGTGCAAACAATTCATTACTATTTCTAGGTACGAATTTGGCGTACTGCGGGGCCTTCAAGAACAGAAACGTGTCGTAAAAACAAACTTTCAGATTTACTAAAAAATCAAATTATAACACTAATTGGAATAGAAACTTTAAACAATGTTATCAAATATGACGAACACTTATACTCCAGACTTTTGAAATACCAATAATTTACCGTTTCCTCACTGAACAAATTATCGCAAAAATTATCACCAAAGAATATATTTACACTATTTACATTACAGGAGTGACTACAATTTTATTACGTTCGTCTTTTGTTGTTTGAAGTCTTCTTCTCGTAGTGCAATATAGCCATTCTAATACACAGCCAGGAATTTGACGAGCATGTCGTGCTCTTGGGCATTGCATGCAGTTTATGATTGTGTACGGAATGGTACAGAGCGGCTTGCTATGGAAAGAATCGTATTACTTCAACAATCAAAGATTTAAAAACAATTTCTTGTAATCAGTTCAATGGATAAACGGTAACTTAAAACGTTTGGATTAAGTATGGTAATTACATTTAATAAAATGTAAAATCAAAGAAGACTTTAAACAACGTTCACAAACGTTTTAAAACAGACTATTTGATGAACATTTATTTTACAGATAAAACATATTTTATAACTTTTTACTTTCTCTACGGAGTAGAAATGTATGTAATGCTGCGCGAAAAACTGTGATTTTTTGGCAGAAAACTCTTATTTCAGGGACCTGGTAATGAAAAAGTGGATGTATCCAGTTGCTAAATTTAAAAAACAATTCTCTGTCTCGCAGTGTAGCCAGAATACATGTATTGTGGGTCCTTGATACTGAAAAATCAAATGTATGTCCGTCCGTCCGTGCGTCTGTCTCTTTGTGAACAACGCTAGCGGCTACATCGTTCTGACGATTTCGTCCAAAATTGATATTCCCCGATTGATCTGGATGATACGCCGGTCCCTGGAATTTGAAATTGATATTTAAAATTTTGGGGTAGCTCACTAGGAGCTCCTGAGACATTTTACACATTTTCATAATAATACCTCCATACTTTTTGTTTAAATTTAGTTGTTGTATAGTTGTATAGTAAACCACTTTTAAGAAATGGCGCAGCTCACATGTTCGTAGAAAACAATGATCTTTTGAAAATTGTAAACGTTCAAAACGTTTTCAGAGTCTACCTCAACTTACTACTACTTTATATTTCAATATTATTCTAATGGAATAATCGCTACTTCACATTTCAATATTATTCTTATAGAATATCTTCCACTGGTATGACACATATCGAAATATTACTTGCAAAAGATAAGTATTAATGACTTGGTACAACTGACTTCAGCATAACATCGAGACGAGTATTATCTTCTTGTCATTTTCCAGCACCTTGAATGACTCATTACTTCTATTTGTGAATAAAAAATGCTGCGTCGACATGTTTTCAGCTTAATCACGCTCATCATGCTCAAAGAACTATCTGGTTTTTAAACATTCGTTGATCACATTCTTGAGGAGGACTTGTTCCCTTTAAAAGTTACCCATTGTATTTTAATTATAACATACGTTTTGACTGAAACTTAGTCGAAAACGTAACATTTATACCAGTTGTGGACACAAGTAAGACTGCAAGTACTGTATTCTTTCAGTTTTCTGGGTATACTATTTTCCTCAAATATAGGTGAAGTTTGCGATTGACAAATGTGTAATTTATTAAAATAAATGCCACGGTGAATAATGAATATTAGTTTTAGAATTTCCATTGCTAATTTCTTCAAGGTGTTATTTTTATAGGAAAAAATACTCGCGTACTGTCATTTGGGAATAAATTGAGGGATTTTTTAAAAGAAATATTTTTTCGGTGGTCGAATGTAATATACCTGTGAGATTACGTTAATTGGTTCGCAATGCATTTTTATGATCTTGTGCTGCAGGTATCGGGCTGGAGACGGCAAAGGATCTGGCCCGTCGAGGGGCCCGAGTGCTGTTGGCCTGCAGGGACCCCCAGAGAGGACAGAAGGCGCTAGGTGAGTTATATTGTTTTCTTCTGCAATTCTGGCACAACTGATTGCACTAACTGGAGCTACAGAACCACCAGACCCTCTGGCCACCAGCCACCAGAAAAACACCAGATGGTCTTGCGCTACCTACTTCGACTATGTAAGGATTCCAACAACCATCAGTTTCTACAGAACTACTGCAAATTTACTTTTCAGAATTAAAATCTATCAACATCGCACTCAGAAGCAAATCATTTTAATAAATAAATTAACTCTACAAAAATGTACATCACAGTACCTATCATTTAAACTAATGGTTTAGTTTTTCGAAGTTGAGACAGCATTTTGAACTTACTGAAAAGGAATTTACAGATACAAAAGGAATTTTTCAAATCATTTACATGTATAGTGCAAATAAGGATGGCAAAAGAAGTGAACCTTGTGATACGCCTTGTATCATGGTTCTTAGGCTGTTATTTCGACAATATACTGCAACTTTTGGAATTATTTAATTGTGTCACTTTCTTTCGATGAAATAATTTGTTGGAATTTAGGTATTATGCTACCAATAGCATAAATGGAACACACAGGTTGCAGAAACACACAGATGTGTCGAAAACGCACCTGCGACGCTAAAAAACATCTTATTGCCAATAATGTAGTCGATAGTAGTTTTAACCACACAGATATAATGTGTACCAGAGAAGCTGCTGTCGGAAGCTCTACATAGTCATTAGTAGTTTCCTACAAACATGTGTTACGTTTACCAGTGTTTACAGCGCCGGAGGTGCTGTGGGAGGTACTACGAAGTCGTTAGTAGTTTTATCCTTACACATTTTACGTGTGTCAGATTAGATGTTGAGGCACTACGTAGTCATTAGTAGTTTCATCCATACATTTGTTTCGTGGTCCAGAGGAGGTGTTGTCGGAGGCGGGCGACGGGGCGACGGTGGCGCTCCTGGCGCTGGACCTGGCATCGCTGGAGTCCGTCCGCGCATGCGCAAAGCACGTCCTCGCCACGGAGCCCCGCCTCGACATCCTGGTGAATAACGCAGGCGCCGGCGGCCTGGGCAACGGGCTCAGCCGCGACGGACTGCACCTCGGCCTCCAGGTGGGTGCACGGGCGCGCCAACTGCTATGGTCATTAGTTTCGTGAGAGCAGTGCATGTAATTTCTCGGGAGGAGGCGGTGAACATAATAATAATAATAATAATAATAATAATAATAATAATTCATAAATAAATTTTGAAAAGTGTCAATCAGTTAACAATTATCGCTTATGGGCGAACGTCGCTTTTAACAGATAAAAATGTTTGTTAAACCCCTTAACCTCTACGCACGAAGGTATTACAACTTAAGTCTTAAGTAACCATCATTACGAAATCAAGATATTTTGCATTCAAAACGTTTACCAAAATTCGATTGAAAAAGTTAGCTGTCAATAGTCGATTTGACATCTGGTGTTTTATTTCATTTTAATCCATAATTTCCTTGGTTTAGTAGAGAAAATGATAATTGACATAGCTAAATTCGGGGCTATATCTGGCGACTAACTGCTCAGAGGGTCTGTTGAGAGCAAGGAACGGGTAACCTGTGATGCAGCGCCACTTCAGTGCTATTTGTACAGCCCTTACTTTTAAAACACGTGCCAGTTTCTCTAGTTGCGGTGTCGGCGAACTTTTGAGAGCTAGTTACCTTGCCCGCGACCTTCTTTAAATACGTCACAGGTCTAAGCTCACCAGAGCTGTCCCAGCCATCATGTATATTTCTTTCCGTAACATTGCTTCGTTCTCGACCCGTTGGGGTGGCGTAGCGTCATGTGTAGAGGCGTCACACTTGGTCGACGCCGTTCCCCAGTCCTTCCCCCTCCGCCTGGCTGCTACCACCGCCCACGGAATGGGCATTCCAGCCGCAACAGCTTTGCCTCCTCATTTCTTCATGTTATTTCGTGGCTAAGCAACGATGGGCGCGCGTCCTTTACTGAACTCCGATTAAAACAAGAAGTCCTTTGAAGGTCACGAGTTGGCAGGAGAGGACACTGTCATCCAATCGCGAACTTCGTTACAAATTAAATTTGTATATTGAAGATCCCGATTCGATGATAGTGTCCCTTCTCTCTTTTCAGCTTATGATCTTGATCATTTAGCTTCCTGATTTAATCGAAGTACTCCTGTACTAACAGAAGATTAATATACTGTGTAACAGTGTTCTGCGTTCTGAATCGCCGGGAAGGAATGGGAATCTCACAATTGCCGGGTTACGCACCTGGGTCAATTCACAACCCTCAGCCGGGAGGGCGGACTTTCATCCGAAAGTGAGAAAATGCCTGCACAGTAGTTTAAGAAAACCGTTCCATTAAAGCAATATCAAATTAAAGAAATGCGTTTTTCAAGAGTAGTGCTATTATCGTGTTTGAGTAGAAGTGTTGAAAGATTTATTTTGAATGTTTTCTACAATTAAGATTTGGGTGGGTGCAGGTGAATCACTTCGGACCGTTCCTCTTCACGCTGCTATTAGTTGACCTGCTCAAGAAGTCTGCGCCCTCTCGGATCATCTTCGTGTCCTCCCTGATGCACCACTTCGCCTCTCTGAAGCCCCATCAGCTGGAGCACGAGCACGCCCAGAAAATCGACGACACCCACATCTACAGCATGACCAAGCTCGCCAACGTCATCGTCGCCAACGAATTGGCGCGCAAACTGCGCGGCACAGGTGAGAGAGTGAGATATCCAGCAAGTGGGTGACGGAAGGAGGGAGAGAGATATCCAACAAGTGGGCGAGGGAAGGGGGGGAAAGAGCGAGATATCCAGCAAGTGGATGAGGAAAGGAGGAAGAGAGCGAGATATCCAGCAAGTGGGCGAGGGAAGGGGGCAGAGAGCGCGATATCCAGCAAGTGGGTGAGGGAAGGAGGGAAAGAGCGAGATATCCAGCAAGTGGGCGAGGGAAGGGGGAGAGAGCGAGATATCCGGCAAGTGGGTGAGGGAAGGAGGGAGAGAGCGAGATATCCAGCAAGTGGGTGAGGAAAGGAGGGAGAGCGAGATATCCAGCAAGTGGGTGCGGGAAGGGGGGGGAGAGCGAGATATCCAACAAGTGGGCGAGGGAAGGAGGCAGAGAGCGAGATATCCGGCAAGTGGATGAGGGAAGGAGGGAGAGAGCGAGATATCCAGCAAGTGGGCGAGGGAAAGAGGGAGAGAGCGAGATATCCAGCAAGTGAACGAGGGAAGAGGGGAGAGAGCGAGATATCCAGCAAGTGGGTGAGGGAAAGAGGGAGAGAGAGATCCAACAAGTGAGCGAGGGAAGGGGGGAGAGAGCGAGATATCCGGTAAGTGGGTGAGGGAAGGAGGGAGAGAGATATCCAGCAAGTGGGCGAGGGAAGAGGGGAGAGAGCGAGATATCCAGCAAGTGGGTGAGGAAAGGGGGGAGAGAGCGAGATATCCAGCAAGTGGGTGAGGAAAGGAGGGAGAGAGAGATCCAACAAGTGGGTGAGGGAAGGGGGAGAGAGAGCGAGATATCCAGCAAGTGGGCGAGGAAAGGGGGGAGAGAGCGAGATATCCAGCAAGTGGGTGAGGAAAGGAGGGAGAGAGAGATCCAGCAAATGGGTGAGGAAAGGCGGGAGAGAGCGAGATATCCAGCAAGTGGGCGAGGGAAGAGGGGAGAGAGCGAGATATCCAGCAAGTGAGCGAGTGAAGGGGGGAGAGAGCGAGATATCCAGCAAGTGGGTGAGGGAAGGAGGGAGATAGCAAGATATCCAGCAAGTGGGCGAGGGAAGGGGGGGGAGAGAGCGAGATATCCAGCAAGTGGGTGAGGAAAGGAGGGAGAGAGCGAGATATCCACCAAATGGGCGAGAGAAGGGGGGAGGGAGCGAGATATCCAGCAAGTGGGTGAGGGAGGGAGGGAGAGAGAGATATCCAACAAGTGAGCGAGGGAAGGGGGAAGAGATATCCAGTAAGTGGGCGAGGGAAGGAGGGAGAGAGAGATATCCAGCAAGTGGGAGAGGGAAGGGGGAAGAGAGGGAGATATTCAGGAAGTGAGCGAGGGAAGGGAGTAGAGAGATATCCAGCAAGTAAGCGAGGGAAGGAGGGAGAGAGGTATATCCAGTAAGATGGCGAGGGAAGGACGGCCAGGGAGAGATATCCAGCAAGTGAGCGAGGGAAGGAGGGAGAGTGGTATATCCAGCGAGATGGTGAGGAAAGGACGGACAGAGAAAGATATCCAGCCAGTGGGCGAGGGAAGAAGGGACAGAGCCATATATCGAGCAAGTTGGTGAGGGAAGGAGGGAGAGATTGGGGTATATAGCAAATGGGCGAGAGAAGGAGGGAGGGAGACAGAGGAAATTAGAGTAGATTTGAGAAAATGGATTGGAGAAGAGAAGAAAGTTACAGAGATGGAAAACGCGAGTGTGTGAGGTAGAAAAATAGCGAGAGGAGAAGCTCTTGGGGAAAGTGTCAAGGTGCTGGAAAACCGAGAGAGAGGAGGGGAAGTAGAGAATATGAGGCAGATATGGAGCAATTTGAACGATATAATGGAACAGTATTATTTAAAAAGTTTAAATGATTTGGGCGGACGGAACTGTAAAATAAAAACAAATATCTAGTATAATATAGTAACGGGGAAATGCAGTTTAGAGATTTAGATACCCCTTGCATGGATTCATTTGATCAGGGTACTGCGCTAAAACTGATAGTCATTGCTCCCGTCGTTGTAAAAATAATCGCTCATTTACCATTGTAAAAATGTCACATACAAAAGAGGTGTGTAATAAGAAACAAACGTGTTGTGTCAAAAAGTGAGTTAGCAAACATGGTATTAATGAGTTAAATCTGATATTAACTACCCCTGAACTAGAGGAGTGTCTGAATAAGTGAAATTTTCTGCCTCCACGGAGATTTTTTTTTCATTGCATTTCCGTTTTTGAAGAGATTGAGCCATTCAAGGAAAATAATGGAAATTTGCAATTAGTGCTCTGTGAGAAAGAACTTTCAGAAATTTCTCTCACGGCTTGAATGGTGGTACAACTCAAAACTACTAATTTTTTGTTAATGCACTCTCTGGAATTATAGATGAGTCTATCTCTCTAAAGTAGCAGCAGCATATTTTACAGTACAGTATTCCACCCACAAATGGAAGAAGTGTGAATGATACATTTCAATACTTGTTGAAACTTCAAACTCATTTATCTCAACACCTGATTTTACTTTCTTATCCTTACAAAGGTACATCGTAAGAAGATAAAGTTATGTAATTGTGCGTCGGAAAACGGCAAATTTTTGGCATAAAACCTCTTATTGCTGCACCCTGATAACGAAAAAATGGATAAACTCTTTTCTAAATAAAAAAATGTTTTGTGCGTTTCTGATAGCGAAAACTCGATTCTCTAAACGTCTTTGGTCAACGCTAGCGCCTAAACAGTTCAGTCTGATTTCTTCAATATTGATATGCTTGATCGATGCTTTGGGAGATTAAACGCATATTGTGATTTTTGATAGAACTTTACATGAACTTCAAAAACATTTTCAAAAGTTTCTCAAAAATGGCACCATTTTTTTTTATCAAACCTTGTCATCGGATACCTTAAATGACGATTAAGAGAATGGTGCAGGTCTCATGTATGTTGAAATCCCATTTTTTTAAAAATTGCCACAGTGCGTGTTTTTTATGGGCGTCTTTCTTCAACTATAATATGGAAGATATATATTTTTGCTTACTGGAATATTTTTCTTAAAGATGGATATTTACATTAGTTCACGTTCAATTTTTCGAAAATATGAGTAGTTTTCGTGTAGTTTGTCGCAATATGTAGGCAATTCAAAAAAATTCTCAAAAAACCGCCCCAGATTGTTTTTTAAAATTTTTTTTCCTCGCTTAGAAGAACAGATGCTTAAAAGAATGGTGCAGGCCTAATTTCTTTGCACTCTCTGAATGTTCAAACATCGCGAATTTAGAAATAACGCTACAAAGTCCCACGTGCCGCTGGAGCCCCACTAGTTTTTTGAGTTGTGCCACCATTGAGTGATGCTCGTTGCCGTGGGAGCGAATGGCGAGCGCAGCCGCTGCGTGGGCGCAGGGGTGGCGGTGAACAGCCTGCACCCGGGCCTGGTGCGCACCGAGTTCTTCCGTCACCTGCCGCCGGTGCTGGCCTTCGCCCTCAACACCGTGGCCGGCCTCTTCTGCAAGGTGAGCCCTCTCCTCCTCCTCCTCCTCCTCCCAACTCTCTTGGCGACCAGAGGAATATTGTCCACGTCAGTTGCGAGTTGACTGATGATTTAGATGGTTATGTGGATTACGTCGTAGAGGTATTTTAAATCCTTCTCGGAGCGGATTGGGTTTATTTATTTTATTCTTTGTTTGTGTAACAAAAAAGGCAGACAAAAACTGTATGGAACGATTGGATGTGATAAGAATATACATTTAGTGTTATTTGTGCTGTTATCACGCAGGCCTCTGTATTACTCAGAATTACTTTTATTTCTCGCACTTACTAACGTAAAAAGAGAAAGTATTGTAATCGTGCGCCGGAAAACGGAGAATTTTCGACACAAACATTTTTATTACCGGTCCTGGTAACGAAAAGTGGATAAATTTACTTGCTATGTATAGCAAAAAACCTCTAACACGTGTTTTGTGCGTCCTTCATACCGAAAAATCGATTGACAGTAAAGCGTGTCTTTTTGTCTGTCCATCTGCCTGTGCACAACGCTAGTGCATAAACCGTTCAGCTGATTTTCTCCAAAATTGATATCTCTCAATCGGTCCGACTGATGTCGCGGATCCTCGAATTTAAAACCGGTATTTTCAATTGTCGAGGGTATTTTACATGAAGCTCCTGGGACATTTTTAAAATTTTCAAAAAAATGACTCCAAAATTGTTTATTAAATTTTGCTGAGGAATAGTGTGAAGGACGTTTAAGGGAATGGTGCAGGTCCTTTTTTGCGTTACTTCCCCGATTTTTCGAAAATTCCAAAAATACATTTTTATTCATACAAAATTGAAGATAGAGATTTTTTCTCAGACGAAGTCTGTTGTACAAAATTCACTCTTTGAAAAAGACCAGGTACAATTTTGTAAATGTTAGTAGTTTTCGAGATATTTCTGTTTGAAGTTAATGAAGCATTTAAGGTCCCGTCGTACATAACGATACACTAACGGAACTTGTTACAATAGCATGGATCTGGTATACTGCAACTGTTCTTTTTTTTTTGTGTAACATTGTAATATTGTGAGAATGTCCTGTAGTAACATCACTAGTTATAATTCGTAACAAGCTGTGGAAATTATGAAACTATAGCATTACGAAACTGAAAATCAAATGGTTATTAAAGCAGATTCATTTGATTTTTTCACTTCAGCTCTTATAATAAGCGCGAAAAACAAAATATACGATTATGAGAGGGATACAAATATTGGGCTTGAATCAGGTTTGAAATATTCGATACTATGTATTGAAATTGATGGGTTAATTAATAAATTTACGCAACACTTTCATTTAAGTAATTATTTATTTTACGCACACGAAAAACGAACTTCTCAGACCGTCTTCTCTCAAATTTTCCTGAAAATCCTTCATCACTACCCTAACAAGGGTGTGGTCAAGAAATATCGGTATAGTACAGTCCCTCAATCGACTATGGATTAGACAGGCTATTTTAAAAGTAAAAATGAATATATTCAAGAGAATAAATAAACGTTTCAGAGATGTGCCAAGGCATCGCGATTCCTGAACGGTGATCGATTGCAAGGCAGGTTGGAGTGTAGGAACGTATCACTCTTAACTAAAGATGATGAATAGTTGGAATGTTGAAGTGCTTCTTACTTTCTCGCTCTTACTTTGTAAGAAGAGTAAGTATGGTAATCGGGCGTCGGAGAACGGCACGTTTTGGATAGAAAAAACTGTTATTGACGAGACCTGGTAACGAAAAAATGGATAAATCTTGTTCTATTATCTTTAGACGTGAATATTTTACAAACTATATCTTAATAAATCTTAAATCGTAACAATTGTTTACAAAAGAAAAATTTCAAAAAGCTGACATTGACTTGTTACATTTTACACTGGAAGAACTAGGGAAAACCATTTCAAAAATAGACATACGGTTTACCAGGTTATTTAGTATTGTTCGACATTTATTTGCAGTTTGGTTTATGCTTATTCTGGCGTTATAGGCGTTATCAATTCATATGTGAACACATTTGCATTGTGTAGCGGAATCTTCTAATTTTTATTTACAGAGTTTCGAAATTGCATTACATATTAATCAACTCATTTTACATGTTCTTATTTTGTTTATCAAATTTTGTTTATTTTGAAATAGATAACTGCACATGGTGATCTTTACACAATTGTACGAATCATACGCTTCTGATCTGATATATTTTGTGATAAAACAAATTTGTATTTTCTATTTTGTAAAATTAATCCATTCCCTTTCATACAACATGAAATAGAACAAACTGAGATATATAAAAAATTAAAAATGCCAATGTTTTAAAAAATAAAGACATAATATAAATATACAGCACAAATTATTTGTAATAGAGAAATTCACAATATAACTAATAAATATGATGTGCATATAAGAAAAGTCAGCAATTATTTTGAACTATTTTAAAAATATTTATTTAACATCAAGAAATTTGTAGTTGACGGAGAAGTGCAAAATAAGTACCATTATGTTGTTGCAATAAACACGTTTTCAAAAGAAATATATGCAAGAAATGGTACATATAAGGAGGAATGAAAATTATTAGTTATGTTAAGAAGTGAATAGAGCAAACCAAAATCTTATGGCGAAGGGGGATAAACTTAGAAACTATGTAACAGCGATTATGGGCCAGAACAGAATGCAGGAGGGAAATCTTGCTTTCTATGAGGGGCCTCATAGAATCGTTTCTCACACCGTAATCTACAGGATTCAATCTTTTTTAACATTATATTTCATTTTATCTCGGTGTGAAGGAGAGAGAGGGGGAGACAGAGAGAGGAAGGGAGATGAAGAGCAGAACAACGTCTGCCGGGTTCCGCTAGTACATTAACTATTTTTTATGTTATAACGGATCATCGAAATTTGCTCATTCTTCAAACATTCCTGTTTTATTGCACAGGATCCAGTGGAAGGTGCACAAACGACCATCCATTTGGCCGTGTCAGAGGACGTGGAAGGAGTGACAGGTCGATACTTCTCTGACTGTAAGGTAAGCTAAGTGAGCCAAGAAATGACAGTAGTTAATGTTAGATTTAAAGTTTTCAAGTCAAATATGTTTGATTTTCTCTGCACTTTCATCAATTTCGTTTACCTTGAATGTTCTCATTTCTTTGGACATAATGTTAGCTCCAGTAAAGACAAAGTAGAAACGTTTTTGATACACGCAGTATCATCCCCATTAAAAATGAACAAAATCGATCAGCTTGAAGCTAAAACCCCTGGTGTGAACATTAATGATTATTAATAGAGTGTTTAAAAACATCGATGTTGAAAAACATCTAAGGTTTTTTTGTCGATATATTTTTAACATCGATGCTTTAATTTAGAACATCGATGTTTCAAAACATCCATGTATTGTTGGCGCAACTCGCATCCGTAATGCGCAGGAGGCGTGGATGCGGAAGCAAGCCGTCGACACGGCGCTGGCGGCCGCGGTGTGGCAGAAGAGCGAAGAGCTGGTGCGGCTGCGCGACGACGAGAGGCCCTCCTTCGACTCCTGAAGCGACACTGGCGCCGTCCCCCGCAACAGCGGAGCTGAGAAACTCACTCGCTTTTCATTACCCTGTCACCTTATTCAATAGGCAATTACAGTAAATGCCTTTCACACAATGTTACAAATGGGGTTTAAAGATTTGAATTGTTCTAAGAGTTCCTTCGTTTTGACCATGTTCGAATTTCAAATCATATTTGAAACCAAAATATTGGATTTCGATGCTGATTCCTTTTTGAAGATATAAATACTTGTTTTCCGGATAAAACAATTACTTTGATGTTTTCAGAAAGTTTGGAGACCAATGAAAAAGTTTACAACTATCTTTAGAATTACAAAGTTTGGAACTAACAACGAAGAAAGTCACAATACTGTTCTTAGAATATATGAATTAATTTAAGATCATTCACTGATTAATGAATGTTCATTAGTGACCATCGTTTTCGTTACACTTTTTAATAGCTATGAAAATTTAAAATGATAGTTTCATTTAGCAGTCAGCTCATTTCTGTTACTTTCAATATATTCTTCTGATTTTAGTAAAAAGATCTTGAACATATTATGTAGTATTTTACGAGTTTCAGAGGTTTTGTTTTTGAAATTTCGAATTTTCCTTGTGAAACAGTCTCAAACATTTTGCATCAATCACATAATTTTCTTAGATTGTGACAGTTTTTTTCAAACGGAAGGATCATTATAACGGCTTGTTTATATCATCGAGCTGACCACGTTTGCAACTAACGAGGTTCGACTGTACAATCGAAGCGGACGTCCACACCAACGAGATATTCCATTTCATGTACCTTCTACGCTGTCTTCCTTCTTCGCTCGCTTTCTCCTTGAAGCCAGGCTTCCTTCACGACCGAACGGATCGCAGCTTCTCAAGGGTCGTTGAATCTTGGCGCGCCGCGCGCGTTGCCGCTTTGAGGGCATTAGGAGGCTGAGGGTATTGTGGCAGCGTCAAAAGCGAAGAGACCGTTACGACCTACTTCGATTCTATTCACCGAAGGTCTCTAGCCTGGTCACTTCCACATTATCTCGCCATGTGCTTTCTGCTTTATGTTAGTACATTCGTGTGTTCTACAAACAGCTTCATCACTCATTGTCACGGATACAGCGAGAGAATGTGAGTGAAAATCTAAGTTCACACAAGTTCTTCAATTGCACTGGCAGAGTCAGCGGTTTCTTTGCCAATTGATGAATAGTGATCTTAACTATGGAGAAATCAATCATTTAATTACACTTTCCTGAACTTACAGCTATTTTGTTTAATTGTTCTGTACAAATAATGCAGGGGGAATTCTATAGATAATTTTGTTTTCGTCCATAAACTGGATTCAAAATTGCCTTCGGATCTAGGCAGAGGAACTTCAGTTGATTCACTATGCTGCTTTTTCTGGGAAAATAAATTTGGAAATCATCGTCGTTTTGAAGTTTATAAAAGAAAGTTTAAACTGACATGCACAGGCTTATGAAACCCGGCACAAAGGATTGTATACATTTACACGCTGAAATTGTGTTGTCGCGCGAGAGTGGCAGCTTAAATGAGGTCGGGCGTGTGACGGTTAGCGCCAAGCGCACGAAAATGCTGACGAAATTCTGGATGAGTCGCGCGCCGAGTGCGTCGAATTCGCCATTTATGAGGGCCGTCGCTGAGCCAACTGACCAAACACCTGGTCATAATTCAAAACAACGAACTTGGCGCTTAGAGGTTAGTCCTATCAAATCGTGTACAGATGTCGTTGGTACATCATATTCCAGTGTGACAGAAATTCCAACCTTATTTAGTTCTCAAAGTTGGTGGTATCTGCATGTCGAAAAATACGCGAAATTGTGAAGCAACTTTTCGACAAAAAAACTGCTTTTTTAAAACACTTTTACTTGAATTTTTCTGTATTCTCGAATGGATAATATATCTGAAGCTATGTTACATATCTGGAAAGTTTACTTTTCTATATATTTTGACGAGTAAGGCGTGTGTATCGTAATCTTTTCTACGTATCTTTGTTTTTTTTTACATATTGAAGTCTATAACTTTTTTACCACTTAGTGCCGCTTTGAAATTTAGATTGTCCAAAAGCTCCGTCTGTTCTATCAGTATGCCAAATTGCAACTGCACATACTTGCCGCTTTTGAATTATTATCATTTAACTACCGGCGTGCGTAACCTGCTTGTCTCGAAACCGCGTGTCACGGCCCGCGCCGTCACGCCAGCTACATGTCTCATGGTGTTCCGTTTACCTTTGATAGCTGAAAATAAACATTTTTAACAATCATTTTGTTCAATGAATAAACATTACCATTTAAACTCAATGTTTGCATCGAATTTGTACATCTAAACCTTACTACATATTTTCATACGAAACGGCTTAAATTTCCGATATTCACTCTACCATATTGGATCTGTGATTTTGCATTTTCCAATTTTGACATCAAATTAGTAATCAGCAACTCTGAAAAGTCCTTAAACACGCAGTTTTACACGAATCCGCTGCATTTTTAACGCTTGTATCTGCCATTTTGAATTCTTAAATTTTGACATTAAAAATTCATAATTAGCAACTCCTAAAAAACGTAAATACCTAGTTTCACAAGAATCTGCTTAAATTTTCAATATTTGATTCACCATATTGGATTCACCAATTCGTAATCAGCAACCCCAAAAACCATAATGCACACATTTTCGTACGGTTTCCCATATAGCTTCTAATTAAGGTCAGGTTTTTGGTCAGTGTGCATCGCCTTTGCGAGGTCCTTTTCGCAGCGCTGAGCCGGTGGCCTCAGGCCGCGTGTGTCCAACGTTTTGGCGTTTTTCTTGATTGTCCCGAATGATCTCACGAGTTTACAAGAACATGGTGTCACACGAGCTATTTCACAGTTACGCAGCTCCATTTCCGAAATCCGAAGGCGTTTATAATCAACCTGCTGAAACTATAAAAGTAGATTAGTTCATGGTTTTGATATAATTTGTGTTCTTTAAATTTTCGAGTCACACGCTGATTGCAAATAAATTCTTGACAAGAGGAGATTTAGAAAAATAATTTGTAGGGGCAAGTTCTTAATTTCAGTTCAGTACTTAATTTCTTCAGTGTTTCACGGAATGTGGAAGAAACAGATGTTGCTAAGTCCCTCAATCGTACCACCATATGGCTGGAAGACCGGATGAGGTATCAAATTACATTTGTAATTTCCTGCTACTGAACCGATGCGATCGAAGTGTTCAGAAGCAAGAGCAATGACATGTGAACTAAGAACTAAAAATGAAATAAAAATCTTATACATTTCAATTTTCTTTAATTTTTTTCCTCTGAACATTTCCTGCACATGAGTTTCATTGTTCTCCATTTCTAAACTTTTATCTATGTCATTCAGTTTTGAACAATACATTTATGATTCAAAACAATCTCTCAACATTTTGAATAATCACGAAAAATAAGTGTCATTTTGTAGAACATTTAATACATTTATTTCTGGATGTTTCGGATCATGAGATTTGGTCCAAATTCAAAACACACACACACACACACACACACACACACACTAAATCACTCCACAGAATAGAATTCTCTGTTCTTAAATTTTATTTTCATTGTTCATGGTCTTTTTTAAACTATGTTTTTTAAAATATACTCCGTAGTGTTATTCATTACATTAGTATGATAGAATCTGAATATAATTATGATTAATGATAACAACTATAAAATTAATATTATATAAAACTTTATGTATTGCAATACTTAATCATTTAATGCTTAATAATTTGGCCTGAAGTATACGCAACGGTAAGTACACCACAAGGTCCTGTTTGCACAACTTCCTGAGAGCCTGTGTGCCTTAAGCTGCTGTGGATCTGTGGAAATGAACTTACGTCTTATAATCAACTAGTATTTGTGAGATAGTATTAAGTATTGCATATCCGTGTATAGGTAAGTTGATACCATTATTATTGTATTATTATTATTATTATTATTATTATTATTATTATCTAATTATTCATGAATAGTTTTCATATTCTAATAATAATTATGTTTGTGAGATATACACTGACAATATTGTTCTTGTTACGTTATTAGCTCCGAAGATGGAATTAAATATTCTGAAACTTCGGCAAATTGGAATGATTTAACGTTTTAATGAGAACATTCGTAATTTACATACCTGGTCGTGAATCTTTGCTTATAAGTGTAATACGTTTAATACTTTCATGACCATCAATTAATAGTTATTTACGAAATTAAATGATGCGAATATCGTACAACGTTTTATACCCTTTATATGAATCCCAATAAACTAGAATTCGATTATTCACCATGCGCAATTTGGTTAAAATTAATTAAAACATTATAATTAATAGAATACCACGGATTTTTTAAAACTTGTGTGAACATTTTTTTTTCAATACGACACTGATCGTTGTTGTTAATTGTGAACCAGAAATTATTAGAACACTTGCATCGTAATAACTCTTTACACCACTGACTTCAGTTTCGTGAAGTTTGACTTTAGAAAACCAAAGTGGATAAAAATTCTGCTAAGCCTACCAACAAAAACAAAATCCAAAATTAAAAGTGTTCTTTATATTAGGTAATTCAGGAACAATGATTTTGCATACAAATTGTAGTACACAATAAAAATATTTATTGACAAATTTCTCTCTCGAAATTGCGAGGTCGGCTTAATGTTAAAATGAAGAGTGAATGAATGTGTTAAAATTAAGTGTAAGAATTCATTTGCCGTGGTAAACAGACAACCTGTGTTTTACTTTTCCGCGTGACGATACTTCATTGCATCATTTTCTGTAAGTGTATGGAATATTTTTCATGATTGCTTTATTTGTGAACCTCATTTGTGAATTCAATATTGGTTGCTTTAATTTTAATTTCTTCTTCTGCGGAGTTGCAATTTGTTTCATTATTAGCATCAAGACTGCACGATTCACTGTTAACAACTTGCGTAAGTATCATAAATCTCTTTGACAGACGTTTAGAAAATTCATACACGGGTCTTTTCGGATTTTGGACCATTAGTTTTCTTAGGTTTCGCTTGGAATTCCAATAGAGAAGAGCTTACTGTTCATCATAGAGAAGAGACAGCTATATCAGTCAGTTCCTCGAGACTAATATTACATTTCATCTGGGCACGAATTATGGGACACATACGAAATTTTCCATTAAAGACCCGCGTCCTCCTTTGAGGAAGCAAGTTAATGATCATTCTCTGACAAAATCATAATTTGCGTTTTGCTTCTGAACTTGCCCCCGTTCACGAATCAGCTCCAGACGCCACAAGAGGGAGGACGCAAGACACGAAAGACCCACGGGAACCCATTGGCAATCCTGTCCCGTAGTTTTAATGTGCGGGGTTGAACTTCGTGATTAATTTCGTGACAGAGGGCTCTTTAGATTTGTTGAGTTTTTGCGAAGTTTGTTTTAGTGTAAAAGTAACGGTAAAATTTTATCAAGAACCAAATATTGAGCACAAAGAATGAAAATGCGAGAGTAATCAAGTGATGTTTTTGTATAGTGAACAACCGGAGATGCTTGTCTTGGAAAAGAAGTAAACGATCTTTTCCAGGCTATTTTAAAAGCAATTTTTCAATTTGCCTCCTTCACAACACTGTTATAAATTTGTGGTTGTTCATTAAATCTCGTAAGTTCTCTTTGATTTATTATTTTTTCTTAACGAACTGTTTGGCAGCAAATAGCCTAGACATCAAGTGTGTCGGACGTTAAGCGTTGCACAGTGTTATTTTATGTTAATTATGGAGACCAAAGATCGGATTTAACTTGGGCACACATATCCAAGTGTCAACTGGGTTGAATTGTAGGTTATATGGCGCCATTTCATTCGCGGACTCCAGTTATCGTTCTCCATGTTTTCGACGGAGCAAGTCTCTTTCTTCACGTGAAGTAAGATAAAGGATAAGAGCAGTGCCTGTGCTAGGCATGGGTAGATCGGGTGATCGCCCATGATGGGTCTCAATGATGGGTCTAATGGGGGAAAAATTAGTAAATAATTGAAAAATAAATTAGAACTCGAGAAAATCGAAATCGTAATTTTATGTGTCGCGGTACAGTAGTCTGACAATTCATAAAATTTTCAATTAATTTTTACATTGAATAGTTCTTTTTAGTAATTACTTGTCATGCATGACTCTATGAAATGAATCAAATGACGATGACATTTAAATATGTTCTACTGAAAATCATATTTATTTTATGTATTTAATAAGTGATAATAAACACTAAACACAACAATTTTAAGCTAACTGTGAATATCGCATTATTCGATTACTAAGTACTTTTACTTAAAATTATTATGTAAAGTATATTTCCAAAATATTTTTCTAGCTTACATGTAATTGTTGTTAGTTGTTGAAATAAAATAACTCATAACACAACTTTCACATTTTTAATTTGGGGGTAGGGGGTGGGCTCCGTTTCAGTATTGCTGGGGCCGAAAATTGGCTAGCTCCGGCACTGGATAAGAGCTGACAATTTTAATGGGCGTTTTCTTGTAACCAACGATTTAGAGCACGTGCCGTCACGCCATTACCGATCTCCGGGCGATTTGAAATTGGTAGTCAGGCGCCGCGCAAGGGAGTGACTCTGACCGCCGCCGCGAGAGCGCACGGAGCGCGATTCCCTTCGGTGGCGGGACGTGACGGGCGTGGCGGGGCGTGGCGTGCTTAAGAATAGCTCCTCCGCAGCGGCAGAAAGACGCACGAGGCGCGAAGCGTCTTCGTCGGGCGTGCGAATGGGGCACGCGCTCGAGCGAGCACGGGCGGGCGGGCGGCAGCCGGGTGTGGCCCTCCGGCCGCTCAGCGGGCGGGTGCGTATTGATCGGGCGTCGGCGGCAGTGGCGTCGCGACGCAGAGGCCGTGTGCCTGGCCCAAGGCGTCGCCCGGGCCGGTGACAGCGCGCGGCGGGGCGGTGCCCTGTGGACATGGGGCCGTGGGCGGCGGCTGTGGGCGAGCTGCTGCTCAGCCAGTGGACGCTGGGCGTGCTGGTGTTCGCGGTGGTGTTCAAGGTGTGGTACAAGACGACGCAGGGCGCGTGCACAAGTCGCCGCCGCCTGGACGGGCTCACGGCGCTCGTCACCGGCGCCAACTCAGGTGCGTGCGACGCCGCGCCGCCTCCGCCTCCGGAAGCACTTTCCACGCGTCAAGTTGCCGGTCTGGGTTTCATGGATCTGCAAGGCTTTCTTCGGCCTACAAGATTACGCAATGGGAAGAGTACGATAAGGTCAAGGATATTTGGGAGGGGGAGTTGTAGAAATGTTACGCGTGATTTTCAGTAGAGTTGTGACTGTGCTACTCAGTGTCAAGGGCATGAGAAGACGATCTAGCTGACTTTTGGTGTAGCTGTTAAACTTATACAATGTTTTGTAAAAGGTCTCTCCTTCGCTACCCACAAAATTGCCATAGCGTTAGGGAAGTAAATTATTATATTAAACCCGACTGTTTCGAAATTATTGGAATTCAGATCAAATTTATTTGACTTTGGAGGTGATGTAGATAAGGTGCATTATTGTAACTTATTATTACTGACAAATCTCAAAATTAGGGAAGTATGTACTTGTAAATTTATTTTTATGGGTAGTCAATTCTATTCTCTCGTTATGGATTCAAGAAAAAATTACGATAATGCATTCATTAAAGCACAGTATTCTCGTGTAGTGAATTTACTTTGTATACCGCTATAAATCGTAAACACTAGCTACTGACACGTGTTTTTAGGTAATAATACTATATTTTTTTACCTGTATATGTTAGATGTAGCATGTGTGCTACAAAATATTGAAATGAATTATTTATTTCATTATGTATCCAACATTTTAGAATCCTTTCTTCAACTACTTACATTTCTAAAAGCGTGCAAAAGGTTATATATCTCTGATGCGGTAGGAACACCGGTAAAGCAGTCAAAACGGGCCGCTGTTCATTCTGGCGACAACGCGTGATGGACAGGTGGTTGATTTTGCCCCCTAGCGAGCTCTTGTAGGCTTCAGTGTATTAGAAATAATAACAGAGCGGACAAGGAGAGTTAAATGATTACGGAACCACGGCACCTGATGCCTGCACGAAGGATGACAGTTGACGTTTATTTTTGTTCCCCCCCCCCTCAAGTATTTGTCATGCATTAATAATGGGAGGAACTGCTCTCCGGTTCAGAATGATTACTCGTACTCCTGATTTTGACGCTGCCAGAGCGAAAGTTAGTGGAACTGAGTCAAATCAGCAATCGGCTTAGACATTTAAATCATGAATTAATAACTTTGTTACTATTAGGCGCGCCTGGTTCGGAAGAACCAGAAAATACAAAATTATTTAATGAAATGGAAAAGTGAAATGTTTTACAAAGAAAAGAGTTTGAAAGCTGCAATAAATGTTTTGAAGAATCCTCTTTTAAAATTTTGTCCTATCTTTAATTTGTGTTTTTCAGAGAAGTAACCAATTACTTGAATGGTATTGAGATTTTCAACATATTTACTATAAGTACTTACAAAAATATTCACTCTAAGCTCCGTTAAGTACTATTTACAAAAGTACTTTCCTGCGAACAAACTTATTTTTTTAAAGTACTTGATTACTTTTTTACAAAGGTTATATTGATTAGAATAAATATTGAATTATTTAATTACTAAAAATTTGTTATATATCTTCGAAAAAGTAAGTCAATAGTCCAAAAGACAGAAATATGAGCTCCAACGTATCTACTCATCAGTGAGTTTGTTTTCAAAAACAGATGGGTGCAAACAAAGCAATAGTTAACATTTTTATTTTTCGTAAGGTACAAACAACACACTTTTCCAACAGAAGTTCTTCAAACGGAACACGGGAAGACATCCCGTAAAGAATAGTCGATGGTGCCGTACGCAAAATCATAAAAGTTGACAATTTAAATGTTCTTATTGTGAAAATATGTTGATATTTACTGACTTAAAGTGTGGTTTTGCAGGCATTGGTCTGGAGACTGCGAAGGACTTGGCGCGGAGAGGGGCTCGAGTCCTGATGGCCTGCAGGGACCCCCAACGCGGACAGAACGCCCTTGGTGAGCAACGCATTCAATTTTCTGATTATTTATTCAACAAAGTACTCCGGAATGCGTTATAATAATCGTGTCATGAAACACACAAAGGGCGAATAGAAAGAAAATAATCACTCAAGAGAACCACGAAACCGCGCCTGGACATCAGCTAAGGTTTTTCGGGCATCTTACAAAGCTATCAGGTACAGTAGTCATAGTTCATTACACTATCTGGGTCGGTAAGAAAATGACTAAATAATTCAAATTCCCTTTGTCAAATATGACAGCACTAGGACTTCTTTTTTTATCGTAATTTTTCCCCAAGTCAATACTTGTCGAAAACTTGATGAACACTGCAAAATTTAAGTTCCTAGAAACATCAAATTGAAGTGATTGTATGATTAAGACAGTCATAACTCATTATCTGACTTGGTCAAAGATTAATCAATGTATCTCTTTAGATAAAGCGAACTTCGTTTTGAAGTTAGAAAATGTATGATTTCCTTGGAAGGGAGGCAAATTAAAATTATAAATTATTCATGATTTCTTAAGATATGATCAGAATATCCGGGGGAGTTATCTTTCATAAATGAGTCTTAAACATGAGTAAGAAAAAATCAAGGAGAAAGAGATTTTTAGTTTGATAAGAATTTAGACTCGGTTTTGCCATAGAAGTATGCACGTCTTGGTAATCCCAATACGTACTCGAGATGATGCGATACTACAGTTTACACAGAAGTGAAACAATAACATAGGGTCAGCGATCTCCACATTTCCAACGCATTTCCAAGCATTTGATGATGCCACAGATAAAACAGCTCGACAAAATACAACAATGTTGTCAGAACCATTTTTTTTCAACAAAATATTGCATTAAATACTACAACAGATTATCTTACAATGCAAGTATTAATTCAATAAATATACACGTTTAAGAACTAAATTGCCTCTTTTTGTACGCGTTCTGAAGTATAATTTTTGATTTATCGTCCGGAAGAACATTGGTAAAGTTTCTATCAAGTTCAGTTCTTTCTCTTTGCGTAATCGATACGTCACGGTGGAATATTTCCCGGAAATGGTTTTCAGGGAGATTTCAAGAGCCGAGACGCACACCTGTTTGACAGCGGCATTGTGGCGAAGATTTGTCCATTATCATTTAAACATCTTTGAAGGGATGAAGAGGGATAACTTTCCCTCCCTTGGTAACAAAGCGAGTAGCTGTGATGTGCGGTTAATATTAGTTGTTGTGGTTTAGGACGCTGAGTAAAAGGGGAGATAGATGATGAGAGGATCAAATAAGGAAAGAAGAGAAAATAGAAAGTTGAGAGATAATGAGGGGTGATGTAGAGGAGAACAATGGATGGGAAGAAGTATAGTAGAGTAATTGAACCACAAAATAATTTAAGATGTAAGTATGATTGAAAAACAAACTGTATAATGTGACCGAGAATATAAGAGGAAGAAAGGATAATACATTTAAAGATGAAATTAATGTTTGTAGGATAGAATGAGTAAGGAAATGGTAATATCACAACACAACAGGGGTATTCTTTGTTTCCTCTCCCTTTTACACACACTCACTTACAAGCACTACACAGACACCCAAGTCGGGGGCTTAGTTTGCTGGGCCGGAGCTTCGCCGTCGGAGATACCGGAGGGGGAAAGCAAGATCGCAAGACTAGGTGTAGGTCGGCGCCAGATCTCACGTTCTAGAGGGCGAGGGACACCAGCACATCCCAGGATATATCTTGCACTACACTTAGGGGACTGACTGTAGCAGGTAATGGGGAAATAATAAATCAATTGAAGTATTGCTGGTGGCCCCGAACGCAATCCATGGTCTAGCGGTGGCTCTGAGGCGCGGTCGGGCAAGCTGGCTCTATTGCCTATAGGCCTTTTGCCTTGTGTTCATCGTGGCGGTTTGCCGATAGGATGTCTGCCGGGGTGCCTCTCTGCCATCGTCGTTTGTCGCACGCTCCGTGAGTCCCGCAAGTTAGGCTACTCGAGACATCAAGGATTCCTAGACGGATGACCGTCTGGGAACCTCCATTACTAACGGCAAAGAGCTCCTGACCGAAGGGATAAAGGGCATAGACTGACTGTGATGTGTCGAGACAAAAATATCAACAAAAAATTCAAAGAGGATTATTCGAGGTGCGCTCAATGCTCACGAAAGGTTAAGAGGAAACGTTGCAAAGACGCAACAAATATGAAAGAAAATTAGCTTTCCGTTGGCCGAGATCGTTAAGGCAGTAGTGCCGTAGCGATCTTGGACCGAAGGATCGCGGGTTAGTGTTCCGCTTCGTGTATGGTTGTATTTGTGTTCGTCCTTTCTCCCCCTTACATCACCATTTCGATAAATACCATAACTTTAAATACAATAGTGGTTGCTAATGACCTAGATGCTGACACGACCTAAAATACTCCCCCCTTCCCAAATGAAAGAGGCGTCTCGCAGGCCTCGGGGTGGCTGACAGGCTGGCGCGTGCGCGTGCGCAGAGGCGGTGCGCGCCGAGGCGACGGGAGGCGCGTCGGTGGAGCTGCTGTCGCTGGACCTGAGCTCGCTGCAGTCGGTGCGCGCGTGCGCAGCCAAGGTGCTCGCGCTGGAGCCGCGGCTGCACATCCTCATCAACAACGCGGGCGCCGTCAACGTCGCCCACGCGCCCACCAAGGACGGCCTCCACGACACCCTCCAGGTCAGTGGTGGGGTCTCGTAGCTCCGAGGCCTTTCGTTGGAAACCGTTACGGTGGCGCGCTCCCCTGCGGCACCTTCTTGCAGGAACTAAAATACGAACTGCTGCCAACGATACTTAAAACGATGCGTGGATTCGTGAGACGCAACAAAAGGTAGCGTCGATGTACTCGCTTCCTTCGAGGATTCTTATGCATGTGTATGTGTGTGTGTGTGTGTGTGTGTGTGTATATATATATATATATATATATATATATATATATATATATATATATATATAATGAATAATTGAACAATTAGAAGTTTTAGCACTTTTCGAATTTCTAACAAATTTGCAAATTTTCATGTGCGAAAGTTCGAGAAGCTGACCATCAGCTGTACCCGGCGACACTAGCGCATCCTATACTAACACCCTCTAGTTTTGTTCCCGGTTTCAATGCAGATTTCAATGGCCCTGTTCAGCCCCGTCTGGGAGACTCGGTTCTCACGCTTCCTTTTGAAGAACGATTTCCGAATTTAAGCGAACCCGCGCATGCGCACAATGACATTTGAAGCGGCAGAGGTGCTCTCCGCAATGTAGTGTTCGTTGAAACTTCGAAACCTTTCTTCAAAAGGGAGCTAGCATGTTGGATTTTACGTGCCGGGCTCCGCCCTTGCACCTTCTGCCAGGAACTAAAAAACCAACTGCTGCTAGCGGCATCGCGAGATCACCAAATTTGCGGGGCATAAGTATGCGTGCCCGGGAAAATTTCCGCCTTAGACATAAACGGTACTTTTATCAACGTTGTTGTTGTTGTTTGTTATTATTATTATTATTATTATTATTATTATTATTATTATTAATAGTATTATTATTGCCGACGTATCCCAATAGATGGAAGACGCTAAGTAAGAGACTCAGTTTTTCTTTGGGTTCTTCTTGTTTTTCCAATATGCTTTCATTCCTTCTGAGAAAGCTTGTTTACGTTCTTCTGTCCACTTTGGTCTGTATTATTTTTGTTTTATTATTTAATTTCTGTGTATTAAGCGTTGCTCACAAATGTGAGAAATTTTTGTTCGATTAAGGTTGGCATCCATTCCTCAAAATACACCAGGCAATGTTAGCGTTCCTACCCTTGCATCCTGTAGTTTTCTCCACAGTTCCAAAAGAGAGTTGATAGGCGCTTGTCAGTTACACGGCAGCATTTACGAGCCTCTTCCCGCTTAACGGTCGATCGTCTGTCTGCTCACTCGGGAGATGGGTGGTTGTGCGTCGGGCGAACGGTGTCCGGAAAGGGAGGCTTCGGGAACTGAGGTCTGCTGGCGCGGCGAAAAGAGACAAAATCGCCGCCAGTTAATAGTTCTCAAGTAGTGGTTGAGATCTCTGCGTGCTATGCAGAGTATCTCAGAATAATATTTACAAAATCCTACGGCATGTAAAGGGATGCAAATAAAAAAAAAAAATTTTGCCAAAGAACATGTTGTGGGAGATGTGACATTTGCCTCTGAGTGATAGGCAACTTTGCATGCGCCGACGGTCGGGAGGTTCACGGAGTCTGACTGCTTCAAAACATGACATGCCGAACACAAATGCATGATTAGTTACCTGACAATCAGGGACAGACTGTCACCCTATTAACTGCGTTATTTGAAATTTACCATCTCATGTTTTTTGGCAAAAAGTTATTTTCTTAGACTCCTCTACATGCACTAGGATTTTGTAACATTAAATTTGAGACACTTGCATTTCTGACCCCGAGGCATGAATGTTACGCCCGTTGAGAAGTTGATTGAGCTCTATATGGTACGTAATAATGCACAGACAAGAGAAACCTTCTTGACAGTTTTTTTAGGAACGAGATTTTGTGGTAAATAATGAATGCCTTCGACTACGAAAGTTATTTTTTAGGGCTGAGAATCAATGCTTTATCACTATCTTCTTTCGTAATCGTGCCCTTGTTAGGGATTGGAGGAACGTGGAACGTGCGCACGACTGGAAGGCAAAGAAAAAAATATTGATTTTAATTTTTTGGCGAATTATTGTCCATATTTTCCCTTTTTAAGGTGTTATTTTATTTGTACGTTGATTCTAAGTATTTTTTAATTAAATAATAGCCTGGCGTTGACTTTGCTATGCACGATTGCCGATGTAAAATAATCTCCACCTTTTTTTTTACTTTACACTGAAAGAAATACGAAAACTAAGAAAGGAAAGTAGTGTAGTGTTAGAAGCATCCAGGCACACTATATCATTGAAAAATAAATTAGAAAAAAAAAACTAAAATAAAATGTCAAGTGGCTCTGAAAATTCGTCGTATGGGCCTCGAATGTACTAGAAATACATGGCAAACTTTGAAGGCGAATTTCCGTAAGTTTCTTTTTTTTGTATAAAATGAACATTATTTTCTAAACTGTTAGAGATTGGCTTCACACTTGTAGTCATTCTTTACCAAGTAATACAATACATTTTATCATAACCTTCTTATTACGTGCATGATAATAATAAATAAAAATGTGGATATATATATATATTCTATATTGCCAAACTGTATTTGGTTTTTTGAATTTTATAGACTGAAATTAGTCAGACAAAATTGGTAAATCTACTGGCAGAAAATAAAATAATTTTAGTAAACATTCTACAATTTTAAAAAGTCATATCTACAACAAAAATTTTAAAATATTCTTAAACGTCCTACGATACAAAACTTACAATATAGCCTAGAAATTACAGTAAAAGTCAATCCTGTAGTGTGTATAGTTCGGAAAATCATGTTCGTGGGATTTATCATTGTAGTTTAAGGCCTTCCGGGTCCCCTTGTGTAGAAGAGGGAGCACACATAAAGATGACCCCTTGACAGTCATTTGTTTATTAAAAGCATGAAATGAGGTTTTGCTTCGCGATCGATATTCAGTTTTTGTGTCGATATTCATAGGATGAGGCATCTACATCACTCAAATGATCCAAAAATATAACTGTATTCTATAAAGTACACCAAAATACTAACAATGTTAGTATTTATTTATGATCTTCTTGAAACTGATACATTCACTCCAGTTATAAAGACATGGTGCATACTGGAGAAACATTTTTTCTTTTAAGTCAAGACATTTTTTAATATTATCTAGTTTCAAATTTTGTCATTTATCTTTACACATCTTCGCTTGTGATTATTTACATTGTAGCATAACATTGAGTCAATATATATTAATCAGATACGCAATTTCAATATCCTTGAGTGAAAAATTGATTCAGATAACATTGTTATTGTTACCGTCATTAGTTATTATCTAATGCATCATCAACCTAGAATCATATCAAATATGTCGAAGTTGCTGACGTAGTGTTATTGTTCCAATTCATTAAAAGCTGGGAAGTCTCATTCTGTTATCTAAAGGACTTCTCGGTTTTACCAGTAGGTGCATAGTTCTATGTTAAAATTGATTTAAATTTTTTATCGACGTAATTTAAAATTTCCTCTCTGGTGTGGCCTTCACAATGGAGTAGTTAGTTCCTTTGTCTTGTTTATCAAACACACTTCTACTCCACATTTTGTTGAGCACGTTTGATCAGGAATTTTATGAAATTGTGAATAATATATTCGCGATATAATGTAAGTTTCTTAAAATCGTGACTCTAGATAAGTAGAAATTTGGCATATGTGCTTGCTCGGATAACATAATATAAAAGAACTTCTACATACTTTGATTAAATTATTACACAGTTCTGGAAAAAGATACAGCTGCTTTTGTATTGGCTTTGTGAATTTGCTTTTGAAATGGAAGAGATTTTTTCACCAAAAGACGGACTATTTTCTCTTAGTGTACCAAACTTTCATTCAATGGAAATAATAATAGTGTACAAAATAATGAAATTGCAGTGTTACAATAGCAAATACTTCATTACATTCTTTGTAACGGCTACGCAATACGCATTGTAATATGCATTATAAATATTAAAAGAACCTGCAAATGAGACTTACAGCAGCAGCATCTTATGAATATCAAAAAAAAAACAACAACTGAATATTGATCGCGAAGCAAAAACTCATTTCATGCTTTTAATAAACAAATAACTCACTGTCAAAGGGTCATCTTTGTGTGTGCTCCCTCATCAACATAAGGGGACCCGGAAGGCTCCCAGCAGCAATTTTTCTAGAAGCCGAAATTCGAACACAGGTTCTTTCAGTTATCACAGCAGGCACGCTACACCTAGACTACCAGCTGCACGCCCGAACTTACCCTTCTCGACACGTAAAAGAAAAGTTGATTCTTTTTATTTAAAATTTACAAAAATGCGGAGATTTACATGTTGTCCCTACGTTATTTCAAGATCTAGTTTAAAAAACAAATTCTATTAAGGAAAACTTCCAACGATTTTGAAGTGTTCAGTGTTGCCGGTTAAAATTGGCGGTGTGACGGACGAGCTTGTTAGAGTCCGAAGCTCTTCAAATTTAAAATTCACTCTCACTGAGGGACTGCAAAACACTGTGTGGTTCCGAGTGCTTAATTTTAGTATTGGGGGAGACGCGCAATGATACTATAACACCGGCACTTGAGTGGAGGTGGGCAGCTTGACAAGGACTTTCTTGGGAGTAGTGTCGCCGAGTCGAGGGTCGCCGGGCATGAGCTTCTAAGTACGATTGATTTGATTGTTTCCGGGCACGTCAACTGCTATGGCCATGGATCTCGTTACTGTAGTGCGTGTTATATCCCAGAACGCGGCGGAGTTCGTCCCCTCTCCCCTGCATGTGGATCATGTAAATTTTGCGCCCACCTATAGTCGTCTCACCGACAAACTACGCTAGTGCATATTTAGTAAGTACATACTGAAAAGTCGGGGTCCAAGGGCCCCGTGTGTGTCAGAACAATGGTAAATAACTTGGTGGCCGCGTCTGGAGGTTAACCAGCCTCAACCAGAGGGAGGTAGTGAAGACAACTATCTAAACTATGGTTCCCTGAAAGAGTCGAATACGCTACTTATTTATGCTACATTTAGAAAAAAAATATATATTGTGATGTAGCCAAAATCTACGTTTTGAGAGTCGTTGATACCGAAAAATTGAATGGTGGCAAAACGCCTGTCAGTCTGTACGACTGTGAACAACGCTGGCGGTTAGGCGATTTTCTTCAAAATTAATTCTCCTTTATCGAGCTGGCTGAGGTTGCAGCCTCTTGATTTTTAAACCGATATTTTAATTTTGAAAAGTACTTTACATGAAGCCTCTGAGACATTTACAAAAAAAGGCTCCATTTCTATGAATTAAATTTTGTTATTGGATAGTGTGAAGGACGTTAAAGAGAATGCTGCAAGTCTCATGTTCTATAAATTTTTGTCTAACCGGGAGACCCCACGTCGTCGACTGAGAGGACTCTCAGCTAACAACTCGGCGTCTCCCGGATAGCCAAAAATGTATGGAATTGAGCCGCGGAAGCTTGCGTGCGCAAGTCTCATGTTCGTTGACAAGCCTGATTGTTTTTGGAAATCGCAAAAGTTCAACATTTTTTCGGCCTCTTCCTACAACTAAAATGTTAAATATATTCTCCCTTAATAAAATCAGTTCTTTAAGGATACATCATATATAAATTTTCGAAAATTTAAGTACTTTTGGCGTAATTTTGCGTGAAAGCACGGGCGAGAAAGTTCGTGTTGTTTTAGCACCTAGTTTCAAATGTTGGCCCGCCTGTGTGCGCCGTTGCCTCCCGCCCTCCTCATCCCGCGCGTCCGTGTGCGCAGGTGAACTTCCTGGGGCCGTTCCTGTTGACGGTGCTGCTGGTGGAGCTGCTGCAGAGGTCGGCGCCCGCCAGGGTCGTCTTCGTCTCGTCGTCCTACCACCGCTTCGCGCGCCTGACGCCCGATCTGCTGGACTACCCGCGCGCGAGGGAGCTGCACGCCGTGCAGGTGTACTGCCTGAGCAAGCTGGCGGTCGTCATCGTCGCCAACGAGCTCTCGCGGAGGTTGAAAGGAACCGGTGAGGGACGGCGAAGCTGATGTCGTTTCACATGGTTTTCTTATCTAAGTTTTATCCTTTATCTGGAATGGCGCGTGAGGCCTATTAATAGTTGCTGATGTATTTACATTTAAGGAAATGTTTCATTTTCGTAATTTTATGTTACGGTTAAATTGTTAAATCTCACACAACTCACTCTGTTTTTAAAACTACAGCATACAGATTAAACTCAATTCTAAGAGTTTAAATAGTGTGTTGTGAACTAGTCTTATCCTGTCTTAGGAACTCAGTCACGGATGTTCTCTCCTCTTCTTCATAACAGGTTGCGGCTACATTTCTTTCGTGTATCATATTGTTCCCCATACGATACCCCGTACTCATTGTAAAAATGCACTTTCAAGCATGTCAAAAATCGTCCAATTTTGGTGATTTGTTTCGTTTTGAAGGGAATTGTCAACGAGTTGAAAGCTAGTTGACAAATTTAAAAGAATTGAGTGAAATTAAATCCTTAGTGAATTTACAATTCACACACAAAAATTGTTGTTGTTTTTTCGTCGCGGCACAGGGCTGCCGAAAAAATGTGTTAAATTTACTCAAAGAAACAACATTAAATAGAAAACTTCATCTTTCAGGGAGGCATTTACATATTTTGGAAGAAATTTGTGGAAGTTATTATCATTTGAATTTATTTTCAATTTTTAGATGAGTAACGGGAATTAAAATAATAATAAAAAAAGAAATATTCAAAGCGATTCAAGCATCAGTTGGCTAAAGCAGTTGTGTTTTGTGCCTTGTCTAATAACATTATTTTGCTTGTGTTAGGTACATAATTTCCCCAAATTACAATGATGTGATAGTTTGCTGTCTTTGCGCAGGTGTGACTGTGAATAGCCTACATCCTGGGGCTGTCAATACTGCAATATTTCGACATTTTCCACCTTGGATATCATTGTTTTTCAACGCATTTTTGCGTATTTTTATGAAGGTAACTTGTTTTGTTATTGACCGTGCATGTGTAACAGCATGTGCAATTGCATTCCCTATTGTTTAACCCGACAGTGCACGCGCCTCTTTCTGGAGCATCAGTGCACGCACCTGATTTCACACATCCAGCTGCTTCCAGTTCCCTTCATTCAATTTCCTCTGATATATTCGATCAAGGGAGAGTACCAGAAAAAAGATGAATATTATTGTGAATAATGAGGTATATTTTTAAATAACTGATTATATTATTTAGTGGTTTGTATACAAATAATGAAAACTAAAATGGTGTAGGCTGAAATAATATTTTCATTGCATTTGATATATTTTACGTATTTGACAACTTTCCTTCATTGCATGATTTACAATCTGTTAGTTAATGCTCCAAACAAATAAACATTTTGCGTATTTGGCACCAATACTTTTTAAGCCTCGTAACGTTCTGAACGAAGATCGTTGCACGAGTGCACGCAGGTGGCCCTTGAGGCCGTTGCAACGTTTGTCTCGCCGCTGGAAAGAATGAAAACACTTTCTCGGAAGAGGTACGACTTTTATATGTTAAAAAAAGTATCTGGAGGCGGTGGACAGCGGCGGTCAAACTCTAATCACAATAGTAGAGTAAAGACTTCTCAGGTCTCTTATACCACCTGTATGCACTGCAGGGTTAAGTATATTTTTCTTTATTATAGCCTAATAAATGTTCTATTGTTCGATAGGGAATTATCCACTCTCAAAAAAGCACCAAACACAGTTGAGATAAAACATGAATTTCAGTGTGGGCGTATGCAACCAATAACACTTTACCATTGCGCAAACTTCAGAAACTATTTGATCTGTTCCCTAAAAATTATATTTTTGTGCCTTTGTAAAATGATTCGTGTTATGTTTCTTACGCACAATATACAAAACGAGTCTATTGCAGAACTACTACTACTTCATTTTTGGAACTTTTACTCTTCTGAGCAATCATTTGAGGTACATTATGTTTTTCTTTTGTTATATTATATTAATTAATTTCTTCCATTTTATTTTATTTTCACAATCTTATGTGCTTATTTTTTCTCCTACACTGTCTTCAGTATACCTTGTATTCATATTATTTTCGGTCTCGTTCTTTTTCTTTCATCAATAAGCATCCAATTTAATAATTTCAGTGGAAGCCGTGTTTCTTCCATGGACACGACCACATCGTTGAAGCCGTTTTATTTTTATAAAATATAATAGTAATTAATTTTCCTGGATTCTCGTTTTGCATTCTTCATTTTGTCTAATTTAGAAACTCTTGCGAATCTTCTCCAAAATTCCATCTTGGTAATAATTTTGAATGTGTTTTAGATTTTTTAATTAAAAGTATAATAGTAATAATAATAATAATAATAATAATAATAATAATAATATTGAAAATTAGGTTTTTAGTATTTTACCCTAAAATCCCAATTCAAATGTCATCAATAATGTTTTCTCTTTCTAATAAATTGCATCTTAACATCGATAACGCGCTATCTTCCGTGGCTGAATGAAATCAGACTGTATCACTTACGTCACAGTTTTGTCACTTTTAATTCGAATTGCATGAGTAAGATACAAAGAATTCATAGCCATTCTGGTAAATTTAATTAATTTACGCACAATATTTGGAGCACGCGCTCAGACCTTTGTTCCAACTAAGTAACTTGACATTCAAGAAAAAAATAAAGAAGTGATATATTTTCTTACTCCTTTGCTTCCCACTATCACAGGAGCAGAACACATCAAATGATCTATAACAATGCATTACGCCCTGACGAAGGTCGCAGAATGGCGACCGAAACGTCAGCACCTTCGCCATGGACGCGGCGTCACCCGGACAGCCTAGTTAATACTGACTCCGGCCGCGGAAGCCTACGCTCTCATAATTCCAATTCGTGTTGAAAAATATATGATAATGGTAAAATGAAATAAGAAACAAAAATATATTCATATTTTACAAGAACATTGTCATAAAAATTTAACTACATTACACACTAACACTGTATTATACAATAACACTATACATTACAATGACTAATACTATAGTATTAATACTAACTAGTAATAGTACTAATACTATACAATAATTGACAATCAGCACAGTTATTGCTCGTGCGAGCGATTCCACAAATTCGGAATCCTAAAGAATGCGGAAACTGCATTAACAACAAGGTCGATTCTATCTGGAATGTTCTTACTGATTGTGAGTGAATCATGTCCGGTTAAGATTCTACTGAAGATGCTCGAAATCAGTAGTATTGCTGAATCACTTGATCATGTAAACAAGATGATGCACATAGAAAACGACCGGGATTTTCTGAGAACTGTCGGGGAATCCCGCCTTAAATACTCTGACACTTGGTTCGCCACTTTACTCCTTTTTTTAAAATTAATTTGTTGCGTCTTTAATTAACGCAATGCGTCTCCAAGCCGCGTTGAACGCTTTGCGCTTCCGGAGTAATCCCCAATTAATATCAGCGCTGGAGTCCGGAGTAATCCCCCCTTAAAATTTCATCGTATTCGTTACATCTCGTCGGAGTCAGTTGTGGCGAGTCGCAAACGTATGCGCCTCCTACTACGCCCCCCTGTGTCACTACTCAGCAGCTAGAATTGGATAGGAATTAGGATTGGGGCAGGCTTTAGGGTTGGACTAGTCTCCATGAAGCGTCTAAACTCGTTTTGTCTTAACAAATTTCACATGAGCTTCCTCGGGGATTTTATGGGAATCGCACCCGGAACCTCAATGGTGAAGGGCAATCGACTTCGAAACTTAGCCACTGAGTCCCGAAAGCATCTACTGAAGAAACTCGACATTGCTCGGTTAACATCTGTCACACATAAAAAGAAAGAAATCCTTTCTAGTCGCTTCTATGATGTTTCATTATGACCTCTTTTATACCCTCTTTTTTCACCACTGAATTCTTCTGTACCGTTTATTTTTTCAAAATTCTAATAACGTTTTTAAAAAAAATTTAATTAACATAATTAATAATAAATTATTAATAAATAACAATAATATAATAATAATTCATTCACATAATTTTCTTGACAAATATTACAATACTTTTCCAAATAAATATTTCATTGTTCCATATTCGAACTCTGATTGATAGTTGTTGCCGATTCGTTCTAGTGTGTATATATATATAACCACAGGGGAGATACTATTGTTATGAGTTGGTGTTAAATCTGGATTGAGATACAACATCCCAGATCCAGAAGATTTTGAAAATGTTTGACTTTTTCAACGCAAATTTGGAAAGAAATTTTACACCTATGAAGGCCCGAGACATACTAAAGAGAATCGGCATAAATGTAGAATCAGTTAAAAACTTATTTAAACAATTCAGTTTCATACTCTTTAATAAATTTAATGAACACAGTCTTCTGAACTTAGGTTTTTATTTGTCAGATCTAAGTTCTTCCGAATATCACTGATTGAAGTGTATTAAATGTACCGACTACATGAATATTAGCTGGCGCTGCATATATCAATTTTTCTTGTTGTACTTCACACAAAAATCTGTCTCGGTATTTAACGCTTATTGAAATGTGATTAATTTCTAAAGTAAATAATTCTATTTTTTGGAAAATTGCCCGTGTTTTTTCCTTTTTAGGCAAAACCGCTTGTGCGAAAAATATGTAAACAAAAAAAGGAAAAAGGTTTCTTCAGCTTGAAACGTTTTTAAACTTTAACTCTTTATATTTCACGTTAGCAACGCTCATTTGAAACTTTGTTTATGTTTGAAGGTATCTTGACTTTAAACAATTTATTTTTGTTATTATTTCTATAAATGGCCGACTTCAAATTTCTTACTTGGTTGAATAAAACTTCCGTAGATCGACGACCCATCTCGTATGAAACTGGAGTTCTCTGAAAATTTATTGTTTAAAAAATATGATTGGTCAATGGAATATAATTATTAAATAAATCTGACTTCAATTTCAATAAAAATATTAAAAACATTTATTGAATTCAACATTCTTTTGATGTTTTTGACGTTATTTAAAAATTTGATTTGGTGCAATTACTTTCTGTTGGCATGCCATTTTGATCGAAATAGTAATAACATTAATTTATTGAGGCCTTTTCAATTTCTATACCATATTTTCTTTGCAAATAATTGTTAAATTTGGTTGTCCGGCTTTCTTCCCTTATAATTCGTGGAGATGTAGACCGCGATGTCGTCGAAGAGAAGTGTTCCTACGAAAAATATTGACGTTCCACCGGAATCTTCTGTTCTTGTATCGTGATACTGAAATTAAAACTGCTGCCCTTCGAATACAACTGTCAATTGCCCGTAACACTAATAAAATTGTTAAAGAAAACAAAATTAATCACCTAAACCTAATAATATTAACGTAGACTAATTACAATTGGCTACATACACGAATGTCTCGCATGGACATGTCTATTTCTTCTGTTTTACCACTGGCGTTCGCTAAACGTGCTGTTTCAAAAAAAAACAATCCTACTTGAAATATTCCTATCAATCACCAAAAAAATTAACATGTAAGTTTACACTGCAACATACACTATTTGAACTCCTGATAATTATTCTATCTCTCGGATGTATGTCCTACGAGCGTCACTCTCCGTACCTAAAATATCGTCTTAAAGAGTTCGCTTCCGAATCTGAATTCCGTTTGAGAAAATCATGGCTCTTAAAAAAAATGTCAACTCCGTTTTCACTTGCCTTTTCTCTTTCCATAACTTCTTCTAGGATTTACCCGACTCCTCATGACTACATCGGTATTAAAACGTGTCACCATTTGTTGTACATTTCTACTTCAATATTTAATATGACGCGATATAATTAAAATATTCATTTTAAAATCCGGCACATCCCAAATCATGAATGTTTAATTTTATCTTATGATTATTCAATGTTTAGTATTTACTGTCTATTCCAGCCTCGAATATTTAGGAATACCGAAATTCATGTTGTAATATTTACATTTTATTTTCGTAACGTTCAATATGGTTACTATATATCTTCTTTGTAAATACATTATACCATTCGTATATTGTCATTTCCGGAATCCAATGTCCTAAAATATGTTATTGTTCCACTAATGTGTATTAGATTTTTCGTTGGGATGTTTGGTATTCTCATTTTTTATAGTTTAAATAAATATTTTCTGATTATTTAATAATTATCCCTATTTGTGAATTACCAATGTCTTGAGCAAACATTGAAAACCTTTTTACCATTTATCTGTACACATATTCCTCTATCATTTCTTGCGTCTTCATGTTAGCTCATTGTCTATTACTGTGCATGTCTCTTTCACTTATGTATTCACTTCTTCGTTCACCTAATTTACTTTATTTATATATAACATAGATAGTTACATATCATCTTGATGTCAGTTCGTAGTAGTTCTTTAGTTCACTCATTGTTCAGTTCAGGTAGTTCATTCATTGTAGTTAATGTCAGTTAGTTCCAGGGGGACTCTTTCGCATTGTATTACACTTTAGCCAATGAGCTTCAGAAATCAGTTTACGTCACATTATCTGGGATTGTAAGTGCAGCTAGATACCAAAATTATCACCTCCTTACAAGACATTGAAACAGATTTATGAAGCATTTCTTTTAAATATTGCATCTTGTACACCGTATCGTGGTATCTTTGGCTTGTTACCTTCAAAATTGTCACTTTGTACAACTTTAAAAATGTTTCTCAACACTTGTCACTCTCCAAGCAACATGGCGGCCAGCGTCTGGCCAGGGTTTTCAAACGAAGGGCCCGTCATGTCGTGATGTGGTCATGTGGTTTGTAACGCAAACTGGTGTTGCGAAGACGGTGCAAAAATCGGTGCGCCATGTATTTCCACCATTAGTTCATTGAGGTTTTAACGTGATATGTTTCCGCAGAACGCCGTTGAGGGCGCCCAGACAACAATCCACGTGGCCGTGTGCGAGGAGGTGGAGGGCGTCACCGGGCGCTACTTCTCCGATTGCACGGTAAGCACTTTCCAGACACATGTTACAGGTGTCCTATGATGGAGGAGAGGGTGAGATGGGCAGGTTATAAAGTGGTGCTTATACCTTTAAACGTAATCAGTTTGGTGATGGTAATAATAATAATAATAATAATAATAATAATAATAATAATATTAATAATAATATTAATAATAATAAATATTACAAAGGCTACACTCCCGTAAATCTCAGCAACAATGCAGACTATCGTGATATCACAGTGAAGAAAAGGTTGCAGGTATGGAAGTCCAAACTCTCCATGGTAGATTTCTCTATGCTGTTGAAAGTGATGGCTACGACGCTTCAGTGCGATGACTCAGAGATAAGGGTTCTGTATGGAGCGACTGGGGGTTACATTCAAGCAATTCAGGATCAAAGTATATATAAGGTTTGCAGTTAGCTAATAACTGCAAAAGATGTATTGAAAAACTAGATGTTAATGACGAATGTAGAGTATGCCAACGATCATCATAGATCACCTCATTACAGGGTGCAAAAACCTTTCCAAGACAGAGTATCTACATCCGCACAACCTTACTACAAATATTGTACACCAGGCACTGGCAACCAAACCTGGGCTACTGACAGAAGAAAGCATCCCTTATTATCAAAACAAAGCCAAACCCGTCATGGAATGTAATCAGTTCCTACTGTATTATGACCTTCCAATACATACTGATATAACGATTCCGGCAAATAAACCAGACATTATACTACATAACATACAGATAAAGAAAACATTCCTCATTCATCTTGAACACCCTGCGGATCACATAAATAAAGCAGAAACAGAAAAATATCAAAATATATTTCACTATCAATAGAATATCAAGAAATATATAAACTTGAGTCTGTTGTGATTTAGAAAAAAAGGTCTTCTCTTCCCAAAATTATTCCAAAAGTTCAAACGTCAGTCATTCTTGAAACTTGCGGGTTGTTCGCACGGTTCTAAATAAATGAAGCTAGGGCTCTATGTTTAGAAGCCCTTCAAACGTGGAACACCGGGTGAGAAAACCCCGAGAAAAAAGAAAAGATGACGATCTCCGTGTGGCGTCGGGGGGTTTTAGTAGAAAAGCACGATGGATAATCCCCCCTGTCGTAAGAGGCGTCTAACTCCTTACCCGAATTATTCATCTCGCGTCACACAACCCTTCCCGTCACCTCCAGGAGCCAACGGGTGGACTGAGTAACTCCGAGGTCCCTGGTACCTATTCTGGCCTTTGTTCCGTCCTTAAAACTACTCCCAGCCTTCACCTGCCACGGGGCCGTGGCAGCAGGCTTAAAATACTAGGAGAAGGTCACTCCGAATAGAAAACCAGTGATGGAGAGACGTCCAAGAAGTCGGAAGGCCTGGAAAAAGTCGCTGCCTGGGGAGCCCCTGGGCATGCCTCGAGTTGGCGCTGGGCATGCAACAGACCGCCGATGGCCGGTTGTTGGATGAGCAAGCGCCGGTCTCTCGTGACGCTATTGCTGAATATAGAAGTGAGAGTAGCATCCCAACACCTCTCAGCTACCCTTGAAGTTGATGTTTTGTAGGTACCCCAGGACAATCAAAGAAGCGCTTACAATCGTCAAGTACCATGAATAAAGATTTGACGCTCTCTTACTTATGCCACCTGTCTAGATCACATGTCAGTATCGTTATCTATTGATGATAATAATAAAAATAATAAACAATAAATAGTAATAATAATAAAATAATTATAAAATAATAATAATTGCCGCTGGTTAAACGAACAACCATTTTTTTCATAATGGAATAAGTTTGCAATTCAAAATGTCACACCTAGAAATGGAAGAACTACTTCCAAACACTAATACTATACTTGAATTGGTTTAATAAAGTGTAGTAAAGTTTAGTAAAGTGGTTTTAAACACTACAAACACTGAGGACCTTATCAGGCCTGTGACGTGTGCTGTGACGATTCAGTTCCTCCCATTGTTTTTCATGAAACATGAAAGCACGGCATATCAGTAGGTGACGTACGGTGTGAGTGTGTAACACTGAAACGGAAACTGCGTTCAGTTTGAGTAGAGCTCGTGTCCGCCGGATGCAGAGCTGGATCTGGAAAGTCTGGCCTTCTCGAGAGGCACTCACACCTCACAAGCGCAATTCCGGGCAGCGTACTACAGCACTCGAGTGCATCGAGCAGCAAGGAATAGAACATATTTACCGATTTTAAAAATAATTTATTAGGTTGAAGAAATTATTGCTTTCGATAATTGGTTTGGATACGGTGTTATCTAACGAAAACATTTACAGAGCTTTTATTTTTAAACAATCAGATCGACTTCAAGTTGAGAATATTATTATAGTTAAATGTTAGTAAATAGATTCCGTTCGTTTACGTGAATCTCTCTTGGAACTCCAAATTTCAAACTGATGAACTTCCGTGACATATTAAGTCTCAATCTTTAAATTGGCCTATTGCTGTTTTGCAATATCGATACATCGGTATTTGGGTATTTTGGAACACATTGCAATCCCTAAAATACCCATTAAATCGCCAAATGTGAGAAAAGTGAGATTTCTTGTTCCTCTGAGAAGTACAATGAAAATTATTTTTACCTGCAACGTTTTCCATTTAATTATCTCTGTTTCAGACTGTCGAATCGAAACTACTAGTTCTGTATAATGATAGATTTTACTACTCTAAAACTATAAATAATTTCTGGATTTAATAATTCTCATTAAATGCGGAATTCTTCTGAATTTTATCTATTTAGAAATTGAAATGATTCGAATGTTATTAATGTTATATAGCGTTTCTGGTTTTCTTTCGCAGGAATCCTGGCTTCGAAGCCAGGCCCTTGACGAGAAGTTGGCGCAAGAGGTGTGGGAGAAGAGTGAGAAACTGGTGCGTCTGCGAGACTACGAAAGGCCTTCGTTCCACTCTTGAATGATCTGCAAATGCTCACTCGCTCTCTTTGATACGAAACATCGTATTAAGATGGCATTCGAGTAGACGAGAGCGCAAAAAATGTGCACTGCCACGATGTCTTTCTCTCAGAGCTTCGATTCTATCGCTATCTTATCATAGTGTGAGGAAACTTGCTCTGCTTGGAGGGTCAGCGTTCTTCCTGAGATGCACCAGTTTACCTCCGGCCTGCAAACGCTTGTACTTTAATTCGCAAGCTCTTTAACATCTTGCACGAAATGTGTAGTGGCCAAAGGAAAGATCGTTAAGAAGCCTGACCAAGCCCGGAAAGGTTTATTGGCTTCTGCTTTTGCGCTTTTCTACAGTTTGTACGTATTTTGTAAGTTTTCTACTACGTGGCTTTAGTCAATTCAGAAATTAGTCAGTTAGAATTGTCTGCGAGACGAGATGTCTAAAATGTTTCTTGTATTTAGAAATGCGTTTTTCGAATATTATATTAATAGTTCTTTAGAGTATTACTTTACTGAGTTTTGGCTATTATTGTTATAAATTTGTATCCTTTTAAAAGCTATTTGTTCGCACAAATGCCCTGTTGTCTGGGGACCAGAAAGATGGGAAGACTGGTTCTTCATTGCAGCCATGTTATGAAGATTGTGATGAGGTATCGAGATAATAAATTAAATAAAAGATTTGTATAAAATGAATTAGGATTCATTTTTATTATTTAAAAAATAATGTTAGTCATAAAAGTTTTGTGATGTTTCAAATTGTCTTAAAAATTTAAAACGTACTATAATGTACGTTAGGAGACCATATTTAATTTCAGCAAAGATTATTCGATTATAAGATTTATGTATATACCTTTCTGAAAATAGACATTTTGAAAGGAACGTAGAAATATTACTGTCATACAATTAAAAACAATTTTTAACATTATGTATCAATTTTCATTTTATATTTATAGGTTATTGGATTTCTTTATGGTTTCGATCCTAAGTGTATGACATAACAGTGGGTAAATTCTTTCCTTCTGAAAGTCCTTTGCCCCTGTCCCAGGAATGGCCAGGGGGCCCTTGAAAAGAGTACAAAAATTTATTTTTTAAATTCACTGATGCAAAAGATTGTTTAAAAGAAAGAACTTGAAGTCTAATCAACACTCGACGGAGGGGAAAATAAAATAAATGTACTGTGATTATTCCTCAGTGTACACGTGTTTTTTTTTCTTTACCCTGCAATACGATAGGCTCCCCATATTTAAATTTAATTTATGTAATAAATTTAAAAGGTGTATATTTTTATACCCATCTGCGCTGAAATCGATGTGATTTCGGACACCTCTCCTTCCTTGCACATGTACAACTTGTGAAAAACCTAAACCGAGGTCATTAGCGATACCAGTAAACGCGTAGGAAGTTCTGTAATCGGCGAAATTTCTCGTTTACCGCCAAGGTGCGTCGACTCACGAACTATAAGATGTCAGGAATGTCAGCTGTGCTTGCGCTCTGCGGCATGGCCAAGTCCTAATTGCACTGATTTTGCAAAGAAATTCTTTTCAAACATTAAGAATATATCATTGCATTTAATTTTTAAAGAACTTTAGAATGCTTGAGAAAAATATACTTCCGTTTAAAAAACAGTTAGGTCAATATCTCTAAAATTACATTTAGTACTAACAAGAAAACGAGAGGTTATTTGCCCGGCCTGCAAAAACGTGTCGCAAATAGCATCTCGATGCCTAAAACTGTTTTCAAGATATTTGCTGTGGCCAAATTAGGTGATTCGCCTTCATACAAGATTATCATTTTTTTTGTTATTTAAGGTCGCATCACCTACTAGATCACTAGTGACCACTATTGCGTGTAACGGTATGGTAACTATGAGGATGACACGATATGATGATGATGATGATGATAGGGGTGTGAAAGGACGAACACAAACACAACCATGCCCGAGGCGGGACTCGAAAACGTGATCCTTCGCTCGGAGATCCCTACGGCATTACTTCCTTAGCGATCTCGGCCATCCGAATCGGCTCTATCAATTTTTGTCTTTATGTTATCGTTTGAAACTGTCCCTCAAAGATAGACCCAGAAGAGCTCCTTTAGGGAGCCTCATCTCTTTTCATTTTTTGTGTTCATGTTTTCCTCGTAAATCAGGGAGTGGGGTAATATACCACATCATGTAATCACATTAGCGTACTTTCGGATATTTTATTTTTAAAATGCTTCATTGTAATTAACATGATTTATTGTTTGAATTCTGCTATTAATTTAAAATCGCAGCTTTTAGTATTCAGTAAAATCAATGCACTGGATATTAGCTCCCATGTTAGTTTTTACCCTTATATTACCCACCGAATACATCCTTGTAAAGAATGTTTTATTGGTATCCCCTTTGAACAGATAATTTTATTACCTATATTACTCACATTTAATTTGTTTATTAAATTAGTCAGAACTGAATACAACACTGTTGTTCAGTACGCAAGTAATTCATAAACAGTTTTCTGGCTTATGTCAATTACAAATAGTGGAGTACAAAAATGGAAATTTGAGTAGTCGAAACTGTGAATGGTAACTGTCTGACCATGTGTCATAGAGTGAACAATAGTGAGGTGCTAACTTCGTTAGTTCTAGGGTTACAAATGTAATGGCAATCTGAACACGCAACTGTAGAGGACAAGACGCAATCTTTCCGGAAGCAGTCACACCATCGTGAGACAGTACAAACTGCGTTAGCGAGAAAAAAAATAATAAAAGCCAGGGAACAACAAGGAACTTGAACCTCGTTGGATGAAGTGGCGTGTCCGATGTCTTGCAAGAATAAAGCGGAATTCGCCTCATGGGATCATCCGGCAGATAGGTGGCTGATTCAAGCGAGCGCGGACCTTGGACCCCCTATATACCCACGAATACATCTGTAAAAGAATGTTTTATTGATCCCCTTTGAACAGATAATTTATTACCTATATTACTCACATTTAATTTGTTTATTAATTAGTCAGAACTGAATACAACACTGTTTCATTACGCAAGTATTCAAAACAGTTTTCTGGTCTGTCAATTACAAAGAAGTGAGGTACAAAAAATGGAAATTCGAGCTAGTGAATACGTGAATGTAACTGTCTGAACCATGGCATAGAGTGAACATAGTGGGTGCTAACTTTCGTTAGTCTAGGTTACAAATGTAATGGCAATCTGAACACGCAACTGTAGAGGACAAGACGCAATCTTTCCGAAAGCAGTCACACCATCGCGAGACAGTACAAACTGCGTTAGCGAGAAAAAAAATAAATA